AAGAACTGATGGCTGTTGGAGCGAAAAATTTCTCGATTTTTCGACTTGATTGGACGACGCTCAGAGGGTAGGCCCCCAACCATGTGGACCGACGTCTAATAAAGGTCGCGGGAAGCTGCTGGATGTGGGCATCACAGGACCGAACGTCGTGGAGACCTATGGGGGATGCCCAAGACTAGCGGTTGGCGTCGAACGGCTGATATGATGATGATAAAGAACAAAGTATTTTTTCCCTAATCTATGCTTGCTCTCTCTCTCTCTCTCTTCACGGACAAGTCCAACTCGAACTTTGAGAGAGAGAGAGAGAGATAGACATTACAAGGATACATAAAATTGACAAAAAGTTATAAAATGATACAATTGTATAATACTATTTAAAGAAAAATAAAAAAAAACAAAGACTTCTTACGGATTATATTAGAGGATAAATCTCAATAGGTATATGTAACTAATATATCACGTCGAGTAGTCCGATGTAGCTTGCGTGCGTCCTCCAAGAAGCGTCGCGCCGGGTCCGGCGTGGTAATGCACGTCCCCTTGTCGCTAGTGGCGTAGGTGAAGGCACAGACAACAATAAATTAAACGATACATTGGTAAACTAGATTAATTTATTTATATCTCACGGATGCAGCAACTTGTAAGGTCCTTATCGAACCCGACGCTGATTTCCAATTGGCTTCAACCTTTACCACTTTTATAATCCTAAAAATCGCACAGAAACGCACCGAATTCGACCACATACAAGCATAGCCAATTTCATCTAGTATTATACAAAGAACTTTTATAATGGTTATTACAATGAAAAAACAATGACATCTGGCACTATTATATACTTAAATGAAACAGATCTCTTTGTTTCCTAAAATAACAGAGACGTAGTTCATAGTTGTAAAATTACAAAGGCACACTAATAATAGCAAAAACTTTTTTATGATTGCAATCGGTGCACCACATCTATTGCTCAGTTAAATTGGTTGATGGTGAAATTTCCGTGACTCATTTTCATTTTATCTAAGGTTACTTACTCAGAATTTTTCGACTAGGAATCAGGAATCAGGAATGCGGTCGGATTTTGCTAATCACAGTATTTACAGAATTTATAGAAGATTATGTTTCTTTAATAAAAAGTTATACAAGCTAAAAATAATCTTCCTAAATTTGCGATGTGCAACGGTTGAGCGAGATCTTTGACTTTATGAATCATAAAGTACTTACATACGTCTGAGAGAAAAATTTTAGATTGCAACAAAATCTAATCATTTTACGATGGAAATCAGGACTTCTCTTCGGACTTTCGTTTTTTTCACCTAGTTACCTTTTTTGATAACGCAGGAGAAATGCACCTTAAGCCTTAAACCAGTGCTCTCCGACCCCGCACCCATCCTTAAAAGATCAGGCTTAATGAGTCCGCAGAGACCAGCCGCACTTTGCCCACGGACCTTATCGACTAATGTAAATGAGCCAAAGGAACAAGAACTGTCATTAAAAAAGATGAACTCCTTAATTTTATCATGAATTCGCTCGCGTATGTATACATCATACGCGAGCGAATTCATGATAAAATTAAACAATCACAGTAAGACACTTTAATTCTTTATAATAGTGGTATTAGATTTGTGGAATGTATGTAGAAATCATTACGAGACTTGGACTTGGAAAATACTTATTTCGATAATAAAATTAGTAGATTGTAGTACATTTTGAACTCTAGTAATGCGAACTCACATTAGCTGATTGAAATAATATAATTTTACTTAAAAAACAAGTTCTGAGAAATCAAACTTAGCGTCTTAGCAAAGTAATATAAAATTAATATTACTCTGAGGATTTTCGAATTTTATAAATACTGTTTTATTTTATTCTTAAGCATTGCGATACTAACACAAAATCGAAGAATACTTCAGAGATTCAATTTGAAGATCATGGAATATGGAAGTGACTTACCTATAGTGTGTTACTAGGCAATAAATAATATTTTCTGACTCCACTATGGGCCGCTTGGTAGGGTCGCAATCTGATGTTCGGAGAAAGTTCAGATAAATAAAATACGTCCGCTCGATGTAAGTGACACCACTATGAACAAAAAGGCGTTGGAGTCCTGCAGACAAACCACACTCGTATTACCCTTAGTGAACGCTCGCCTCTCCAAGACCCTCCTACAGCTAAGTAAATCTTGTGTTGTCGTCATCATAGCAATTTTAACAGGCACCTTTTTATCTGGATGTCACTGACAGCCCCCTGTTCCATCCTTTGCATATGGAGGCAGATGAAACAGCCACTCACGTCCTGGAATGCAACGGAGTCGCCAACTACCGGGCAAGATACCTCGGCTCGCCAGGTACCATCCAGGAGCCATCACAAATGTGAGGGCTTTGGCAGCATTTTTGCAGAGGTGCAGAATCTTTCGGCCACACACCCTCTACATGCAAAACAGGCGCAATTTGGACGTCGATTTGCATAGACGCTCGTTAACTTTTTCGCCTGCCCTGGAAACAGACAGAGTAAACTTAGGTTACCTTTACCTTTAGATTAAAATAGACTACTTACTTATATAAAGAAAAGCAATTTAAAAAAATGTAGCAGTCCCGGGTGCCCAAACCCTTGGTCCGACCAAATTATTTGTTGAACATAAATAAATAGTACTTTATCACAAGAGCTAAAGTGAACCTATACCTATATATAATGGCTCAGTCAAGGCCAGACATCTAAATATCCATAGTTAAGATAATAATAGCATTGTTCAAACTATATGTAACTTGACGCCATTCTTTATAATAATAGTTCTACGATACAAAATGACTTGCACCATTACTTCAATTGTTTAACTCGATTGTTTTTGAAACAATTAACGTTCAATTTCCAAAAATGAAAAATAAATATTTTCAACAACAAAACAAGCTATCAAACACAAAAACAATACCCAATAGTACCGATTATAAGACACCGGTCGCAACTGCGATCCGTGTTGTAATGTGGTTGTAAATTGTAATATGGCCCTCTAATGAAATCATGCTAATACACCGTTCAAAGTTTACTCACATATACTTAACACCGATTGATACGCCGGGTTATTCATGTGTGAACGAAGCTTGAACAGGAGTATAATTATTTTACCTTAATATCCCTAAAATTTTAAATTCGTTTTAACCCAATCTCATGTTTTAATTACAGCTTATTTGGATGTTTTTTATTCAAAATCAAATGGAATTTAGTTATTCTTGCTTCTTAAATAATTCTCGACAAACAACATAAAACTGCTGAACAAGAAATTCTTATAATATCACGAAGGTGCTAAACTGCGAAGGACGACTTATCCGCATGATTTCTCGTAAATTATTCTGTCACGATCGCAAAGTGACAGCCGGTCATAATATAATTTTGGTTTATAAATAGAACATACAATAATAGGCTGTAACTAAACTAAACTTAGTTTATGTATATTTGTGACTAACTAAAAATAGTAGGGTACGGTTATCTAATAAGGTCAACTAGAATATATCTCAATTTCAGTCTTGAATCGAATGATCATAAAGGCTATAAACATGTAATTTTAACCTATTTTAGATGGATTACCGGCACCCTAGTAGTCGTTAAAAACAATGTTTCTTATTAGACTACAACACCTTAATTTGAATTAAAGGGTTTGTATTCCCATTATTTCATAGTCACATTATCATCAATAACCACTGCAGTGACACAGGCCTTCCCTGTGGATAGAACGATTAGGGAGAATGGACCACTCGGGCCCAGTGCGGTTTGGTGAGTGTTAACAACTGCAAATGCAGTCGAGACCAACGGCTAAACGTACCTTCTGACGCATGGAGTAACTCGAGATAATAATTTGCTTAACAACAACGATCGCGGGCCGAGCGCGCTTATTCACTACACCTTAACCATCTATAAGGAAGGCCTGAGCCCCTGCAGTGGAGACTTAAAAGGACTGATGATAATGATGATTATAGTGTTGTACTCATATTTCAAACAATTATTACAAATTAGAGATTATCTAGATTATATAGTATACAGCGGAATGAATACTAGGAAGATTTTGATTAAAAAATAAATAATGTAATCAGATTAGGACACTGTGGCTTCTACTGACAGTTAAGACGACTGAAACCGTGAAATCTAAGAATAGCTAAAAGTATTAAAATCTAATTATTCTATTTTGGATAATAATAAACGCTTAAATTGCCTTAAACGATTGTAACCTTTTTATGCTGGAAGCTTGAAAAGAATCGCTGTTTTAAATTTATTTTTATTCGATAAATAAGAAAACTTTTTTGTTTTTTGTAGATAAATATTTTGACACGATTAAAACGAAAATTAATTTTTATTTTTCGCTTGTATGATTTCTTTATATAATAAACTTTTTGGAAGTCAGTTTTTCAAATTCGTAATGATAAAATATTGAACGCCTATTCCCATTGTTGACCCTTCATGACCTCAATTTATCTTAGTTAGACATCTTTTATAGACAAATCAAACGAGCCAAAATTGACTGAGTTGTGTTATTTAACAAAAAAGTTCCCATGGCTTTCTTCTATTTTCATTGGCAAACCTCAATTCAATATTAATAAAATATTAATACGACTTCCGACAAAGATCTTCGTAGCCGAGAAGCTCACACGCCGATTTCAAGGAGTTGCCATCTCTTTTTTTTTATTTTTGCTCGGATGTAGATGTTACGCTTCCTTCTTCGTTCATCCAGATTGTCAAAACTTATTTCATTTGTATGTGATGTTGTCTAATATTTATATGTATCTTGACCAAAGTCCTTGTCAAGACAAATCAACCAAGCACAAATAATGTAAACCATCTTTTCTTACTTACAGAGATCCCTTCTACTTGACTTCTCCATTAACCAATCAGCCCCATTTCATATTAATGTCATGCAAAAATCTGGAAATGTGTTTTTAATTTATATGATTTAATTACAGATAAAGTTAGAGTAAATGAAAGCATGTAAATCATTCAATAAAATATATTCTCTCCAACAGTACCATATGTAGCTCACATTCTCGCAATGGTCGTGATGGTCACTCCAGGACTTCATCACCGAAGGAACGAGACAAACCAATTAAACGAAATGCCGTGTTCCCTTATGGATTACGCAATGAGATCGCAGTGCTTACAAGTCGAACAAGAATTGATATGTAAAGGCGGAATAACAAGAGAGTGGCTAAATGGGATCAGGTATAAAGTAGAAAAAGTAACGTAAACGAATATGGAATATAATCCCTAATATAGAGTATTGTAATTCCTTACAATGATTATGATTTACGGGATTGCTACCATGTACAGAAGGAGAATGAAAAGTTCGTTAAATTTCAACTGAGTATGAAAATAAAGTAAAATAAATAGTTACTTCAGTTCTTTACTAGGACCAAATCAACGAAACCTTCATGAAAAGTATATAAGTCGCACTTGGCATGTTTACATGGAATTCAAACAAATAAATTTTAAAATTCATTGGTCGAAGAAGCTGCTTTAACACTGTCATATGCATCTGCTACTATGATACTGATTATTGAGCTATTGCAAGCAAAATTCGACTTTACGATGACGAAACTTTTCTTTCTCACATTGTACATATACTTATTAACAATCACTCTCATGTTAATAACCATGAAAGTTCAGAACAAGATGTTGAAATTCAACTTCTTAAATTATTCCTAATAGGGAAAGAATTGTGTTGGTATCATTAATTTCCTGCGGGTAAAATTTGCAATTAGTTTCCGATGTCGCTTGCTTTGAAGTGCATTGAAATTTCTGTAAAGAATTATTAAGAAAATAATTTCAGTGTGTGGAATACTGAAATTAGTTTCTTTATTTTAAATATTCCATATTTGGTTATTTTCCTCTACTATTCTCCACCATGTCGTAATGTTGAACTTTAATTATTTTTTTACCCAATTATTTCCATTTGAAATCGTTTATCACACTGGAAATGTACACAGCTAGCCTAATAAGATTATTTTAGGTTTCTACAGATTCTCAAAGAATCATGTCCATTTTCCATACGTTGATTGACCTGTCACATGTTTTTTTAAAGGTACCCACTTTTAGTGATAATTTAAATTAGTGTTTGCTTAAAATATAATGATATCTTAGAATATTTTTATCTGATGATCAGGGAGAATCGTAATTTGTAAATAATGTTTGGAGGTTATAAAATTCGTCTAGTTTTCATAGTACTCTTTAAAAATAAGTATAATCCTCGCAATTTTTATCCTGGCATTATTGAAATAAGTAAAAAATAAATTACATTTTGAGATATATCATATTACTAGACGCGTTAGTAAATTTTTAGGTCAAAATTTAACATGATTCTTTCCGTCTTTGAGTACTCGTAGAAACATAATTAGATATTCTGATATTGACTACAGGAATTTACAAATAGATTGGGTACAATTTATTTTCTTTTCCTTTCAGCGACATTAGTTAGTACTAGCAAATAAGCATTAAATTTTCGATACGAAATTATGCTAATGGCGTAGTGGCAGTTTATAATAGTCATATAACACTATTGATTATAGAGGCATTCCGAATAAAACTAAATTAATCAATATTAAATATTATGAACCAAGATTCTTTTTCCATTTTATTCCAGACTTGATATATTTCATCTTCGGATGATGGAGTGGCCAGGATTATGTATCAATGCAGGCAAAATACAGCATTTCTTTCCAGAATTGAGAACGCTAGAACTGATAAATAGTTCAACACTGAGGTTCTTCAAAGGACACTTTGGCGCCACCAGCAAAATCGAGGTACATTATAGTCTTATGCAAAAATTCAAAATGAGTAGTTTATTTTTATTTCCCTTTTTTGTGTAATTGCCAGAGCCCTACAAAATCTCATCTTATTATTTACTTTTTGTTTGTAACTCTTTCTATGTGAGTTGAGCCTGGTCATAGTTAATATATTTACTGATTTATCTATGGCCTGGTATGTTATTTATATGCTTCGGGACTTGAACTGGTTAAAGTAATAATATATTATTATTTCAAGGACAGTGAAAATTGCAAAAATCCTTCACGTAAAAATGTAATAAGATCTTACTTAACCTATTTAAAAGCAGGGTTTGGAAACCGGTTCGACGTAAGTACATGCGGAAGTGAACCGGCTTTTAAGCCGTTTCACTAGAAATACGGTTTTCTTCATTAACCGGGGTAAATATTATTCCAGGCAATGATCGCACAAACTACAGCGCGGTTTTTAAGTGCGTGTACTCATATCCATAACATCTGAACACAGGTATAATAAATATCGTAGCTTAAAAATGATATAGGTATTCGTATTGAAATCCTAAGAACATTGCGTTTTACGAACCAAGCAAATCAACCGGTTTTTATTCCATCCGAATTTCACTCTGCATTCAGTTCCATTAAAACGGTTTATTCTGCAAAAAAAGGAATAATTTTAACCAAATTTGAGAATATTATAGAAATGTAATATTTACAAATTAATAAGAAAGTAGAAGTGTATAGCAAGTTAACAAGAAACTTGAAGATAATATAACCGAATAACCAACTTGTTCATAAAGCCAGTGTTTTTTGAAGAGCGCTTTAACAGTTTTCTTTGCCAAATCAAAACTTAAAATTATATTCATATCAATAGAGTTCTGTTGATAATGTACTTTAAAACTATATAGTATCTTTTAACAATTCTGTATTTCCCAAACCAGGTATAGTTGCTAATCGCTTCTTCATCAATAGAACAAGTGGACCGATTAAATGATCAAATCATTAAATCACGTTTACATTCATTTGCATATTGACACATCAGTACAATAAATGAGCCTATATAGGGGCTGCGAGATAAATGCCAAAAGTAAGGTTTTCTACTTATTACATTTAAATGAAAACAATATTCCAATAATCCTTTTTTATCTCGTCAATAACAAATGCAAATAAAAGCAGCAGCATTGAAAGAAAGCAGAAGACCGGAAAAGAATTATCCTGTCAGAAATAAAGCAAGAAAATCCATCAAACGGGTTTAATTAAAGTTAATGGTCCTCAAGAAACTGGTAAGACTTGTTGGTTTGACGGTTATATTTTCTTCGAGTTTCTAACTCACTTGTTAACTCGAAAACACTGTTGGTTTTGTTAATGAAATGTATAATAACGTATTTTCGAAGTAAGCATTGAAATGGTTGAATGGGGATTGAAAGTAATAAGGCCACATATTTATTTTAATGGGGACGCGTACGCCCAATATTAGGTACTTTCAACTTTGTGCAAAGAAATAACGTAAATAAAGTCCAAATAAACTGTAATAAAAATTTACTACATCATTTTTGTTAGGGTTCTCTTATACCTTAAAAGAGAATCCATGTTTCCACAATAAAATTCACATTTTCTCATATCTTGATATTATTATATTCTTTGGGGTTTCGTATGCAAAGGGTAAGATGGTCAACCGTGAATAGTTGAAATTTTCTCAGATGATGAATTTCAGTTGCCGCTATAACAACAAATCCTAAAAAGCCATCTGTAGCACGAAGTAGGACGAAGTTTTTTGGTCACCCATCCCATTAACGACTCTTGCGAAAGTCGTTTAATAACATAATATTAAATTATAGTAATGTTTAACGTATACTCCACGTGACAATATGGTTACTAAGTATTTTGGCACGTGGGATTAAACAAATTGAAAAGTTTCATTGCAGATCAATAAATGATTCATCATCAGCTTTTACGTCCCCACTGCAGGGGCTCAGGCCTTCCCTATGGATGGTTAAAAAGGGCGGTCCTCCACACCGGCCCGATGTGGATTGGAGGGTATTAACGACTGCAGATATAGCCGGGACCAACGACTTAACGTACCTTCCGAAGCACGGAGTAGCTCGAGATAGTAATTTTTTGATCACCCATCCCGTGACCGACCCTTACGAAAGTTGCTTAACAACAACAACCGCGGGTCGCGTCGCTTATCCACTACGCCACCGAACTACGATTAGTAATAATAAAATACAATATATGTATATATAAACACTGAACATAAACCTAGTTAAAAATAAAGTCTGTCATAATATCCTAGCAAAATCTTCCACGAGTTGAAAAAGACTTAAATATTCATAACTCAAGTAGGTACGTTACTGAAATATTTACTAAAAAAGCCCCATTAATCTGTAATATTCTTATAAAAATATCATCACCTAACTAGTAAACAACAACTTGCTTGTATATCAAAAGTAAAAATGCGACGATTTCACCCTTGAAAATTCCACGCTTGATTTGGGATATCTTAAAACATGCATATTACATCAATTGGAAAATGTGCCCTATTATCTTAAAAATGATAAATAATAGTATAACATTATTATCAATATTTCAATTGGATGATATCAATACAGGAGCTGTCGCTCGTACTGATTTACGCAATACTGCATATCATTGTCGTCATTTTAACATGACAAATCTTAAAGGCAGTGGCGGTCTAAGGGGCGAAGGGGGCGGTCCGCCCCGGGCCTCTTATCCTGAGGGGCCTCCAAATGGCTGAAAGTTCCCTTGATCAAATCATAAATTGGGGTTGTACTGCCTTATCTTTCTTAGTTTCGTAGTTTTAGCAGGCGTCTTAGCAGGAAAGGCGGTGTAAACACAAAATCAAGTTTCTGCAACAATTGTAAAAAGTTGTAGGTATGGACCTAATGCCGCCCCGGGCCCCCGACAGGGTTAGTCCGCCACTGCTTAAAGGATACATAATTTTTGATATCCGTAGAATCAGGCTCCCTTTATCAATAAAATGTAGGTACAGGAAATCATAGGTATGTATCAGAAATAAAGCCGAAATTATATTTAGGTTTACAGTACGTAATTATACTTACTTTAAATTCAGGAAAGTCATTAAATCACTAATATTTTGCCTGTACTACGGTACCCATAAGAATGATAAAAAAATCATGCGATATTTTAAATTTTTCAATAATAACGAAATCAGACAGCAAAAGTAACAAGTGATGCAATTAAAATATAAAAAAGTACCCAGTCAATGATACAATCAAAGACAGATAATGGTGTATTTGCGCTCCATAAAACGTCAATGCCGTTACTTTTTCATGTGGAAATCAAATGTATAAGCCCCCAAAAATCCCCAAAAGCTTTTCCCGTAATTTTTTTAAGGAAAACGATAAATTCCACACGATTCAATTTCTTGCTGTGATCAAAAGACAACTGAAATTTGAGTACAGAAACAACCGTAAGCCACACGCTATAATATTGCTGTTAGTACTCCTTAAAAGGTTACGTTAAATATACTATAACATATTTAACAAATTTTAGTTTTGTGTTCAAGTAAATATACAGATGTTATTCTCTGTATATTTAGTACACAGATAACATCTATTCTTCGATCGACAATACAATCTATTACTATTTGTCTGACTGTACCACTGTCATGTGAAATGTGATTATCATACTCTGTAGTCTAGAATACAATAATTACCAAATATACCATTCCTAAGCAATCTCTATTGTCTGTCCTTGTCTGCTACAAATTGATATTAGATACCTACTAAATCAGAATGGACAAGACTTCAGTAAGTATTGTAAATGGGGTGAAATATGTAATACATATACGAAATAATTAAATGAAACGTGAGTATATTTACAAAATCAAAAAAGAATCTTATTCAAAAATGTTCATAAGTGTGAACTGGAAGAAAGTTCGAGCAATTAATTTACATTCTCTTGACTGACAACACACTATGACACAATTAATATAAATATAAATAGTAATATAAATATATAACAACATCATATACATTGCTCAGATTTCAAGATGAGTAGCTAAAGCCCCCGTATTATGGAGTATCTGAGACGACGAAGGTACCACAGCACCCAGACCCGAGAAAACATAGAAAAGTTCATTTTCTATATTGAGCCGATTCCTCAGACCTCAGAGATGGCGAAACCTTGAAACCGGCATGCGAACCACTCGGCTTGCGAACAAAATAAATTGACTGTACTATTTACAACTTCTGTACAATATTTTTTCTTTCTCTTACACAATTTAGTTTCTTCTTGAGACTTCCTTAAGTAAACGTTTTCCTCGTTAAATAAATATGCCCAAAATTTCTATTCTTATTAAACTAATGTTTTTGAATATCTACAATAATTTCGCTAATGCTAAAAATCGCTTCTTGTATGCAAACTTTTTTGTTGCAGAAATAATTCGTTTAAGTCATCTATTTCGAAGCAGAATAATATTCTGCTATGCTAATAATATTTTGCGCTGCACGTGATCAAAACGTGATTCTTTACATTAATAATTATAACAGTCCATTACGACGATTTCGCATGGAACCATCTAATGTCGCGCCTTACTTTGTAATAAATTGAAGTATTATACGGTACTTAGTTAGCATTGGCGTGGGAGTAATTCAAACAGACCTTATAGTTTATGTAAAATTATTTTCAACATTGTTAGTTAATGTGAGACACCGTAAGACGTCTACTAATATCTTTCCATTTTATCATTGCCAGAAGTCAACTGTAACAGGCAAAAGTAGCTGCCAAAACCTAATCACAGTTAGCTGGCGAACAAGATAGTTGTTCATTTACGCACTTATATAGGCACGTTTATTTTTGGCAGCACCATTAGCTGGTCCCTTTGTAAGTCGTCTCCAAATTAGATTGGTTGTATGAGAGGTCTCAGTGAGATTAAGTCTATCAATATTTTAATTTATTTTGGTATGCTCTGCATTTGTTTATTTTATCAGAAAACCAACAGACAAAGAAGCTTGGCCAATAACAGATTTTTCCTTATA